CTCTGGGAATGGGAGGAGACCGTTGCCACTGACCTGGATTGGTTTTAAACCAGTGCTCTGGAGCTAAAAGGCCTGGTGCCCCGATTCCCCCTCTCTGAGCTCAGCTGGGGTCTCCTTGCTGTCTCTGTTGAAAGCAGGGAAGGGGGCCAGGCTGGCTTAGGGAAACCACAGCACTTGTTTCCTCATGTGCTGGGAAGATTGGTTTTGAGCTGCCCATGTCCCTGGAGCGAACTGTCCCTCTCTGAAACAAGACAGCGAATTGGGGAGCTGCTCTGGAAAGCGCTGCCTAGCCGCCGGGGTCTTGCTGGCCAGATGAGTTAGCGCTTGGGCTGTGTGGCTGCCGTCCTCGCCCCAGGGATGCCAAGCGGGCGCTGTCCTAACCCTTGTGTTTTATTCATCACCTGTCTCTTTTCTCGACCAGGTACGGTTCTGACCGCCGTTTATCTGACCTATCAGATTACCGTCGTTTAGCAGACTCGCCGCTCGGGTACCGTCGTTCACCCACCAGGTCCCCGATGGATTATCGCCGCCTTCCAGAAGCGCATTCCGATTACGCCCGCTACTCGGGCGGCTATGGCGATTATATGCCCAGTGCCAGGCTGCAGTCTAGTTACCAGCGCCGCCTGTAGGAGGTGGGGTCCCCGTCCCAGGTGGGGCAGTAGCACCGGTTAAACATTCCCCGCTGGGACACGCTCTTAGTGTCAAGCCAATCTGCGTCTTCGCTAGGCTGGCGCGCGCTCGGTTCTATGCTCATTGAGACTCGCTGCGTTTCTTTCCCTCCCGCGCTCTCTCAGGGGTCACAACAGGCTGTTATTTTGGCTCTGCTCCCTCGTGTCACTCGGTTCAAGGTTTCGGTGTCGGGTCCAGGCGGGAGCACAAGGGCTCCCTGGAACTTGCGGCTGCAGTCGGCATTCTCCAGGCCTTTACTCTGGGTGGGGAGAGGCAGGGGCGGGGAGGTGGATTTTTCAGCTGCCTTTTTTCGTTGAGTTTTTACAATGCGACTTCAAGAAGAAGTTCCGTGCCGCGGGCTTTCCCAGGCCAAAGCCTCAGCCGCGGGATTCCTTCTGGCTCCGTAGTGTTAAGAGTGCCAGGGCGTCCGTGAAATTAACTTTTTATTATTATTTTTGTTTGCTCACGACTCCTGTCGCTTCGCCTTCAGGCCCTATTAGTAACCTGCAGTCTCCTCTCAGGCAGGATTCCCAATAGCTGGGATTGTCTGATTTATTGCTCCGAATTGTTTTTATAACCCGAGCAATTGCGCTGTCTCTGAACAGTGTTCTTTTATGTAATGTGGAGAAAACCCTTTCTTTCTTTTTCTTTTCTCACCCGTGTTAAGTTTGCATTAGGCGCGGTGTTAGACTCGATCTATCAGAAAGGAGCGAGTTTTTGTATGACTGAATAAAATGCTGGGCTCTTTACAGTTTAGAAACGGCTGTCTGGCGTGTTTTTTCTTCTTTCCACTAAGCGGTTTCAGGGATTGTTTCTTAACGCTCTTCTTTGGCATCACCTTGATGCTAAAGGTGGACCCCGGCTTTACCATGCGCATCCACCGATGGGTGGATGTGGGGGTCACCAACACCCCAGAAGGAGGAGCAGAGGGGTTGGGGCCAGGGCTGTGTTCTTCAGTACTGCATCATGCAGCTTAATAGACTAAGAGGTTCCTGGCCCCGAGCACTCATGGTTGGGGCAGAGCAGTGTCATCCCTGTTGTAGTACTTTCCTGGTAGGGGGCAAATCCCTGTTTCAGAGGCCCAAGTCCCTGCCTGGCATGCTGTACCTCGAGCAGGGCTCCTGTGGACTGTGCCGTTACCCAGGAAGTTGAATTTCTGACAGCACGAGTTAGATTAGGGTGGAGTGTGCAATTGGTATGAGGATGGAGCAGAGGAAGCAGGGACCAGCTGTACAGCTCCAGGATGGCGTGTAGCAAAGGAATGGGCGGCCTAGAACCGGGGTTGGACACCCGTGAGGGGGCAGGGAGAGCAGATGAGTGGAGTGCAGGGTGGACGGGCATACCAGGGGAGGGCCTGTGCTGGGGTGGTAGATATGGGGCTGGACACTGGGGGTGTTCCGTCTGCCTCACTCGTGCCTCCTGCCCTTGGGCTCTCCTTGGCACAAGCCAGGACATACAGCATCGTCCCTCTGTCCCCATGTCTGGGGTGCGGGGGGTGACATCTCATTTCCCAGGATCTTCCAGCCACTATATCTGGCTGCCCTGGGGCAGCAGCTGCAAGGACTAGAATGTTGTTGGGCAGCACATCCTTCACTGAGCCCCTGGGAGGCTGCTATATTCCCTGGGCCTTTTGGGCTCATGAGTGGCAAGGACTTGGCCTCTTCCCCCCCCCCCCACCCCACAAAAATAGCAAAGGATTCACATTTGCTGTTATTGAACTGCTGCCCCAGAGCCAGAATTGACTCCCCTCATCGCTGCCCACCTCCATAACCGGGTCAGAAGGAAGGGGCTGTTTCTAGATGGACAAACGTTGGAGCTACCTCAGCTTTCCCCAAAAAGTGTCTATTCATTTTTTGGTACCACTAAGGCATTTGTGTCTGACGTCTCAGTTGGTCTGGTGCACAAGAGCCTGAGCTGTTGTCACCCTTAAGCTTTTGCTGATCTAATTATATCCACATTGTTCCTTAGATTTCTGGCAGGCTTAAGGGCTTGCTATAGCACCCGCTCAATGATTTCTTAAAACGCACTTCAAAAATGAGTCCAAGCTGTTACGCAAGGCGGTGGGGGGGGGGAATAAAACAGCTTCGACTTTGATTAAATGGTCTTTGCATCCAGGAAATATGCGGATTCCGTCATAGAGACTCATTAGGTCAAGTTGGATCCTCCTCCGTGAAACGATCCGTCTCCAATGTCTTAAGCTCCGGTACGGTTTCTCCTGTATTGATTACAAAGACTCAGATGCGGGAGTGAAGAGCTTGCAAGATGAGAATTACAACTTTGTTTAGCTTTAAGTCGGTCATTTACATAAAAAAAAAAAAAAAAAATGGCTTGACTTTTGGACGGACTCTACTCCAAGGCTGTTGTTTGTCTGGTCCTTTAATGATAGCGTTTGCTTTTTTTTTTTTTTTTTTTTTGGATCAATAAAAAATCTTGGCCAGTTTTAGCAAGGCTAAATGTAGTGTAGTTAGCTTTCTGACTAGGTTTTTCTTGGGGGGGGGTAGGTTTCTATTAGTAGTAATGCATGGTGAACTTTGCATTTCTCATGCCTAAGATGCAGAGCTTGCTGTTGGTGGAGTGTTTATTAAAATATCCGAAACATCCCCTTTGTCCTGCGGTCTCTGTTCCTTGCCTTGGGTGACTTGGTAGTTCAGAAGTGTGTTCTAAAGAAACAGGCCCAGCCTCTTAATCTGGGTTTAGGAAATTATGAAGTATCTGGTTTTCAAGCCACCTTAAATCATGACATTCTGTTAAGAACAAAAATGTCATCCTGGGTCAGACCAATGGTCCATCCAGTCCCGACACTGGCAGGTGTGGATGGCACAGAGCTGGGTACCTCTAGAGCACCCTCCCTGCCATCCACTATGTATTGGGTTCATGCAGCCCCTTGCCAGCTGTGGCAGTGAATTCCACAAATGTAAAAAAAGTCCTTTTGCCCACCATGTGCCTGGTGTGTAGAACTGTGCAAGCCAGTCTTGACAGGTGGCTGCTGGGGCCCAGGAGGAAGTGGCCAGTAGTACCACAGCATCCTAATGGTGTGAAAAGCTGGTGCCATCACAAAAAGGGAGGCCAGGCCAGTTCATGTCAGCACTGCCGGTGGTCCTTGACCCTGAGCCTCTACCAAAGCCGTGCACTCCAGAGCCAAGCCAAAGAATCCTCCTTGCTATTTACCTGCTCTCTCTTCCAGTGTCAGTTTACAGCTGCAGCCCTGGGCTCTGACCTTGCCTTTACCAGTGAAGGAAGGCCGGAACTGGTGCCAAAACATCACGAAGAGCCTTGTAGCTGGGCTGTCCCTTTTCGGGGGGAATTTAACCACAGAACTCCTTCCTTTCCCTTTGCAGGGAGGGGTCTGACCACATACTACCCCTCACAACACATCGCAGACTTTCTAGAAGCAAGCAGTAGGCAAATAAGAGGACAGTGGCACATGACTGACTGCTTGCTGGATAGCTTTCCTTTTTTTTCCTCTCTGAACAAAGACCATGCCCTGTGTAGGTTGCACTGCCTGTGAAAGGCTAAACTTCCTCTGAGATTAGAGCCTGGCTGCCTGTTATCTGTGTTTGATTAGATGTGCACAAGTAAATGGACACACCTGATAAAAGCCCACCAGCTCCCTGTCTGTGGATGGGCTGAATGCTGTACTGTTAACTCTAACCCGCTCCCCCACACACACTGACTCACTCTTGCACAAGGCCTACTTGCATTTCAATTCCAACTTACTCTTGAAGCACTGAGGCTGCGGAGGAAGAAAGCAGCAACGTAAAACTTGGGGAGCAGGGTGGGATCCTAGCAGTGGTAACTCGGAGGCCAGGAGAGCAGGCTGTACCCTCAGGCAACCACAGCAGGGACAGGCTCTGGCACTACAGGGGCAGGGACAGATCAGTCAGACTGTACAGTGTTACTAAGGGTGGCAGAAGCAGTGGAGATCAGGCTGGTGCAGATACAGCAGTTGAGGGCCATTGGGCAATGTGAGAGGTAAGAGAAGCCTAAAGAAGTGCAGGTCAGGAATCCCACTGCCATAGGAAGAACCCCAGCCAAGCTCAGCACCCACCAGCGGAGGTGGTTACCCAGATTCAGCCCTCTGTGTAGCGTTTATCATCTCTAAGGGAGCACCGCTGAGCAGCTGTAGTAGTACGGCTGGTTCCAGGCTTCAGGCAACGGGAGACTTTTGGGAAGGAGCGCAAAGAAAGCCGCATTCAACTGCCCTCTCATGCATGCCACCCCAGGCATCAGGGGGGAGAGAGCTTTGCTCTGTTCCTCCCACCCCTGCCCAAACCCGATGCATGCACCCCCACTCCAACCTCCCGGTTACACAAGAGACAGATGTCAGTCCGTCTGTTACAAGCATTTATTTTTCTGGAAAAAAGGAGTGGCAATCGAACGCTGCTAGACCTACCCCCCACCCCCAAGTCCCAAGGGAAGGGCAATCACAGCTTATACTCCAAAAAGAAAAAAGGTCAGGGTAGAAAAGACAACTCCACATCAAAGGCCAGAAGTACAGGAGGAGGCTTCGTGAGGCCACATCAGATACAACACTTCGTACTGAGGAAGACTGGACTAGTCACCTTTACAAACACGCGCACACACATGCTTTCAGAAAGGGAAGCTACGCACTGGACTGCCCTAGAGGCAGCAGCCTCCAAGCACATCTCCCAAAGGGAAACAAAAAGCAAGCTAGCACTACAGCTACTCTAGCTCAAAACCTAGGCTACGGGTGGAGTGTAGTAGCTCTGGGGGCAGGAAAGGCTCTGCGCTGCCAGAGGAAGTGAAATAAGGGCGGGGCGGGAAGACTGACACTAATCAAAGCAGCGCCTGAAAAATAAAGAGAGGGAAGTTAGGCAGTTTGCTTTCACTAGGTTCTGGAGGGAGGAACACGCATGTCCGTTAAAGGCAAACGCGACTGGCACGCTTGGCAGCCCAGCCCAGCGCAGTGCGACGCGCACGGTACAGATTTCATGTGCAACAGGAACCCCGACGTCCAGCCGCAAATATCCTACCTGAAAGATAAAAAGCACAGTTCGTTCAGAGGCCCGGAGACAGAGGTCTGCCTTGACACACGCTCGCGTCTCCTGTGCAGAGAGGGCACGTGGCTGCCTGACAGCTGCCAACATCAGTGCAAGAGCGTACTCGGGAAAGAGGCTCCTGCGTTCGTGGCTGTTGTTCACAACGGAGGCAGGGAATCAGGCTTCATGAGACAGCATGGTTGCTCCTAGGTCCTGGCCAGAGGGAGGCCCAGCAGCGACTCTCTGCTTGAACCCGTTTGCTCCCCTGACGGGTAAAGACACCTCACACTGACTGTCACGCTGCCCTGCACCCTCCGAGGGCTCCAGCTGCTTGCACATGGGTGTCTGACTGTCTCCTTGCTGATCAAAGGCTGCGCTCTGAAGAGTTACTCCAAAAGCAAGAGGCGCTCTCTGGTCTAAAGCAGGCTTTCTAGTCCTCACCCTGCCTTCCTAGCCTGACTGGCGCAGCACTGTCCAGGGACTGTAGGCAGATCTGGTGCCTCTGCGGCTGCTCGTGGCTGGGCCCAGCTCGGGGTTTCCTGTGCTTGCAACTTCTGCCTGAGGGATCAGCTATCTCAGTCCTACCAGGAGACTGAGCTGAAGCTCTGAAGCGACCCCAGTCAAGTCCCTTGGAGGGTTGACAGGAACGTGGCACTTTGAAAAAGTTCTGCTTTTTAGCAATTAAAACAAAAAAAGGGCTTAATAAAATAAAAAGGGGGTGGGGGCAGGATTTAAAGCCCTACTCTTCTATTGTAGCGGTTCCTAACCTCTTTTATAAAGCTGTGGACTGGCACAGGAGCAACAGAGCCAGCTGCCTCCCTCCTGGGGCTGCCCTGCCGCCCAGCTTTAATCCCATGTGCGACTGCTGACACGGAGGAAGCCGCCTGTCCAGACAGACATATGGGGGTCCAAGCAGGGGGCTCATGCTACAGCCCAGCAGCCAACCCTTTGCAGCCTGGTATCAGGCTACAGCCTGGTGGTTGGGAACCTGTTCTAGAGGCTGGTGATCTGTCTCTCCCTGAACCACAGCCACAGTGCCCTACAGTTGGATTCTGGCAGAACGCCTTTCAGAATCTGACCCCACCCCATGTAAGGCTCAGCACCTCTGCGCATGTTGGACCTCAAAGTGTTGCTTCAGCCCAGCAGGATCCTGCCCTTTTCATGCCCCCCGCCCACCTAACTTGCCCCAGGAAGGGAAGGGGCAGGGCTCAGCAAACAAGCAATCTCTTTTAACGCACTGTAAAAGCAGCCCAGCCTATGCTCAGACCTCAGGGAAATCAGCTGAGAGTTGTGCAGGCTTCTTTCAGCAACTCACTGTGGCCACAGCAGGGTCACAGTCTATGCTAGACACAGCCAAGGATCCCCCTCACCCCCAAGCTCTCACTCAGTCTTTCCTGCTAGGATCTGCCCCTGACTGCCTGCATTTTGCAAGCACTGCACTGCATCTAGGGTGCTGGGAGCCAGGAAGATAGCACCCCAGGATCTTGGCGGGCTCCCCACAGGGTGCACTCGTCTCCTCCACGCTGCACTATGTCAGCTCACCCCACTTGTAAAAGGCTACCGTTGGAGGCTGCAGCCTGCACAAGGCGATGGTGCAAAGGAAGCTACACCCATGTTCTGCGCTCGGCAGCAGTTGGCAAGTCAGAGCCAGGAGAAACTTGTTTGCAACCCGGCAGTCTGGGCCCCCAAAGCAACCCCCTACCAGTGTGCCAGAGCCCGAGGTCAGGATGAACGTTGCTACCATCTTCCCAAGAGGGGCAGGCTCTCCTCAGCAGCCAGACCAACCAAGCACAAGCTGACAGGCTTTTAACTGCACGAAGCAGGGTGCCCTCGGCCCGACTACCCTCCCCACCATGGCTGCTGCTGTCTGGTAGTCTAGGGAGACAAAGCACCGCCCCCAGTTTGTACACTCCTGCCCGTTACGCACACCGTGTACCAAGAGCTCTGCTGACAGGCACCTCAGAAACCGGCAGGACGTCTGTGTTCGACCCCACTTCGCCTCCACACCTCTGCCTTGGACAGTGCCTTCTTAGACCTAAGAGGACCCGGCATGTCATTATGGCTTTTAAGACCCAGGCTTCAATGCTTGACAAGTGACACGCAGACAGAGAATCTGCTGCATCTGTCCTCAGAGCCCCAGAACAGACATCTATGAACCACACCTGAAAGCACGCTCACCTCCGGCTCAAAACGCAGAGTACCGCGCCCTGTCCGCGTACGGATCCCGCCCGAACCGCTGCACGTCGTAGAGGGAGGCCGCCCGCGTGACCGACGACGCTGGGGACAGCTGGTTCCGGTCGTACGCGTACGCCTCTCCGACGGTGGTGGCCGCGGCTGCCGTGCGACGCAGGGGGCTCCTATCCCGGGCGTAATAGGTGGAGGACACAGCTGCCGCGGCAGCGGTGGCAGCTGCGGCGACGGCCGCCGCCGCGCCCGGGGTGGGCAGCAGAGCTCTATCGTAAGGGTCTAGGGTGGTGGGGAGGCGGCTGGCCATGGCTGTGGTGGCGGCGGCCATGGCCGTGGGCTGCACCTGGGAGTACTGGGCATACTGGGAGTATTGGGCCATGGTCTGCTCTGCATAGGCATCGTAGGCCGAGCGCACGCGGTAGCGCTTGTAGTAGTCGACCATTCCTCCGTACCCGTCATCGTAATACATGGTCTCCCCATAGCCCGTGGGATAGGGAGTGCGCACTGCTCCGTACTGCTCGTTATAGGTCTCGGTAAAGTCAGGCACCTGCCCCGGGCGGTCGACCGGACACTCTTTAGACCAGTGCCCTTCCTTCCCACACCGATAGCAGCCACTCTTGTCTCCCATCCCGGGCGCAGTCCTGAGCCGGCTCGTAGACAACTGCACGCGCATCCGCTTGCCTTTAAGAAACAGACGCAAGAAGGGTTGCTATAAATTAACTGCCGCCACACGGGAAGCCCAAAAATCTGTTACAAAGACAGAGCACAAGAAATCAGATTAAAAACATCAAAGCAAGGCCAACGGCTTTCCCCCTGGAACCGCTAGTCTAGTCTCTAGGCTACCAGCATCCTGCCTAGCCGATGGCTTCACGTTGCAGGTCCTGCAGCATCTGGCTTCTCTGCTGGATCGAGGTTTACCTGCATGAAAAGTGCACAACCCCAAGAGCACCAGGGGACAAGTCGCCATTGCAGTCACAGGAGCAGCCCTGTTGTAGCAAGCCCCAGGCTGGCTCTGCACAGCCCGTGGCTCACGTGGTAACAGGCCTGCAGCACAGACCAGGAGCCACACAGCACTGACCGCTAGCAACACGCTTACCAAGGGGGTTCCCAGCCCAGCCTGTTTCTGCCAGAGACACATGATGAGCTCTCCCCACAGCAAGCCAATGCCTGGCGGTCCACACAGCAGCTAGACAAAAGGCACTGCATGCCTGCCACCCAAGCCCAGGAGGGAATATCAGAAGGCAGAAGGGGGAAGCTTGTCCTGAGATGGCTCCTCTGTACCTTCCAGAAGCCTGTTCTGAAAGGCTGCAGAAGCTGAGGGACAGACATGGAGCGCAGGGCTACACGCAGGCATGGGCATGAGTGGTTTTCTATCGCCACTGCTCAGCAAGGGGAAATGATGCAAGATTGAGTCAGAGGGAGCTGCTCTGAAGGCTGAGCCTTTTGGATCCAGGTGTGTAAGCACAGGGCCCACAGCAGGCAGCCCTTTCTGCTCTCCTTCCCTGTGACATAGGTACCTCTCCACGGTAGCTCCTTGGGCTAGTGTCATCCTTGCCTGTCCGGCTGAGTGTGCGCCCTACCTTGCAGAGGCTGTGGCTTACTCATTGGCTCGCATGTGCTGTACCTCTGGGGCTTCAAAGGGCGCTTTAATAGTACATTTGGACACGCAGAATTCAGATCACAGGCTACACACCGAGTGGCTCTGGCAGTTTCCTCCAGAAAGGCACAAGGGTGCTCATCACACTGAGGACAGACACCGAAGGAGCGAGGGGACGAGCACCTTCCAGGCCTGAAGCCGCATTCATATTGGGCAGCAGCAACAACCCTGGCTAGCCTGAGAGAATTTCAGCAAGTCACATGCGCTCAAGTGCCTGGTTGCACAGCAACACAGCTTAACAATCACCACGCGCTGACGCAGAGATGAGGGGAGCCTCCAGCTGCACCACACTGAATCAGAGTGGCCTGCTCCTTCTCACAGCACAGCACTGGCCCCTCCGGGATCACCCCCTCCCCCTAAGAGGGGCCCAGGGACAGAGATTCCAGGTCCCATTCAGACACAGGAACCCCGTCTTCAAGACACTGCTTCCTCCCTCCCTGCACGTAGCTGCATGGGGCGGTAAGCAACCTCCCACCCCAGAAGACTTACCTGGAGTGACCAGGTGGCAGCCAGTGCTGAGGTAACACTGCCAGGTACTCCAGAGGGAAAGGGACTACGTGCCCAAGAGCAGGCCAAACAGGGAGAGGCTGCAGGTCTGGGGCTAGGGCTGGATCACACTGCACATGAAGCCTGAAGTAGCAAACTACTGAATGCAGCCCACCCAGGGCCGTCTCTGCCCATGTCCTCTACGTGGGGAGGGGCTGCATTCACTTGCCACAGGGACTTCATGCTGCTACAATCACTTCTGAACTAGTCTGAATGGCCAAAGCAACTTGGGCACTTCCGCTTGTCTTGCCCTAGCACTGCCCCCCGCCAGGTTCAAGTCCCCTGTATATCGTGGGGGGTTCCCCTAGACCACACGGGCCACGATGTAATGCACCAAGCCAGCAGCTGATGTCACTCCTTAACAAGACAGGTGCAGCCCTGTGCCCACCCCCCACACCCAGTGCACCAGCAGACAGTGGTCCTGGCACATCCCGCCCGAGACCTCCCAAGTGAGACAGTCCCACCCCCCGACTCTATGGTCAGGCCAGCCCATGTCACCCTTAGTGCCCTCTCTAGCCCTGAGATGGAGTCCAGCTTCCCCCTGGAGATGCAAGATGATGTCCAAGGATGGGTGCCACAGCCATCTACCAGCACCCTTGCCTTCAGTGCTGGAACCGGTACACAGATGGCCCTTATACTACCAGAATAGAGACAGCTGGCATGAGGCGCCGGCCTGGCACTGATCCATACCGTGTGTGTTAACCCAGACACCTACAGAGTCCCCAGATTCATTGACCTACTCGGGCACACACAGAGACCTCTGCTAAGCACACAGCAGCTAACAAGCATACTCAGTGCTCTGCTATAAACCCACGGGCAGGCTCCGCTGCCTGGTGCTGGCCCCTATAAAAAGAAATTAAAATCCTGGGCCCATTGGCCACGGGCAGGAGACAAGCAAGGATCCAACGAACCTGCTGAGTGAAGCATGGTGCCATCCCTGGGACCTCAGAGGCAGCATGGCCTTCTTGCCTGGGTAAAGAGGGCTTGCCTTAGGCCTTGCACCCACTACGTGGTCCTGCACGCCACCCCCCACCAATGGCTCCTGTGACCAGGCAGTTGCCCATGTGCTATATAGGCCAGGCCGCACCCCCCGACCCAGCTTCCTTCCTCGAGGTGTCTGGAACAGGCACCAGAAAAAGAACATTTTAAAAACCTTGCTGGTGGCCCCCTGGCTGTTACGCAGTGCCTTGGCCAAGTCTTCTAGGCTGCCCAGGGAAAGCAAGAGGGCAAATCCAGTGCACTCTGGCCGTGCTGGGGGACTACAGCGTGGCCTCAGTGCTCCAGCGGGGAGCAAGGGTGAGTGATCTTTAATAAAAGGATTCTTATTCAAACAGCTGCCTGCTTTCAAGTTAAAGGGGAGTGGGCACAAACACCCCAAAGTCTCGAATTGCCCCCCACCGCCTCGTGAGGCGATTGCAGAACCGTCGGAGTAGAGAACACGTCTCTCAAGACGGGCAAAGCCCAGCCTCCTAGCGAGTGCAGCAGCCTGCTCCAGGCCACCTTCACCCCTCAGGGAAAGGGGCCAACTAGGCTGCTTGCAGGTCCCCTGAAGGGAAGGCTCTCCAGCTCCCGCCTTCCTGGGCAGTGCAGGGCTCCACCTCCACCCACTCCTGGAGGCAGGGCACCTAGATACCCTGGGCTCCCCCACCTCCCCCGCCTGCAGCCCGGGGCACCAACCATGCTGCCCTGCTCCTGGCGCAGCTCAGCCAGCACCTCTTGTTCCCCTCGTACATCCAAGCAGTAACTGCGAGGACCTGCACAGCTTGTTCCCAGTCTCTCCAGACCCCGCATAGAGAACAAGCAGAGTGACCTTGCCTGCCTGGGAAGTGAAACACATGCCCAAGCTGAAAGCATCTACAGTAAACCTTGATTCCTCCAGGTCCCAAGCCCCTCCCCAAAACAATTCTGCACGCTTGTTCAAGGCTCTGGCAACCCCCGCCCTGCCCGGGGCACTGTCCATCCAAGCCCACTGGGCCCCTCCAGCTGACCTGTTCCTGGTGCTACCTAGTCCTAGCGGAGGCCGCCCTATCCTGCGTCACCTTGGAACTCGGTGTTGTCGAGGCCCCGGATGGCCTCGACAGCATCTTCAGCCCGCTCCATGTGCACAAAGGCATATTCCTTAACGATGTCGCACTCGATGACGGGGCCGTACTCCTCGAACTTGGCCCGCAGCTCCAGGTTGGTGCAGGTGGCGCTGATGTTGCCCACGTGCAGCTTGGTGGAGGCCTTGCTCTTGTTCTTGCTGGCCTCCACGTTGATGCAGACGCCATGCAGCTTGTGGTGGTGCAGGTTGCGGATGGCGTCCTCGGCCGCCGTCTTGTCCTCGATGTGCACGAAGCCGTAGTTCTTGATGATGTCGCATTCCAGCACCTTCCCGTACTGCTCGAACAGCGACCGGATCTCCTGCTCCGTCGCCTCCCGCGGCAGGTTCCCAATGAACAGCTTCACCATCTCGGCAGGGCCTGGCAGGAGGGGGAGACATTCAGGAGAAGCGCTCGCCCCAAGGCCGTGTTCCCTGACCTCTGCAAACCGACACGGATGCCCCCGCCCCGCACAGCCCTGTTTGGCCAACGTGCCAGGGACAGATGTTCCTTTTCCTGTGCGGGCAGCTCATTCGCTGCAAGCTAAATCGAACCATGCCACGCCGTCAGGGAATCAACGGTGGGCGAAAGCGGCAAAAACCCACGAAGATGGTCCACATTTAATGGGGACCCTATCTGGCTTGGCTTGCACGCCTCCCGTCCCAACAAGCTCGGGGCGGCTGACAATGAGAGCGCAGAAGCGGAGCGTGCCCGGCTCCTCTGGTCGGCCCGGCGGGGACGCTGAACACCCCCCAGAGGCGGAGGGTGTCCTCCAACACC